TGGGACAGGAGCATGTCCTAGACTCCCCGCATCACCATCTGTATTGCGATAACCAAGACCAGGTGGACCGCCATCTCCGTGACCACCACCACCTCCATTATTGCCAGTTGGACCAAGTCTCGCATTTGGGATAGATCCTACTGCTTCATGGAGTTGGTCAATATGAGCCTGTATCATTGGGTCTTGGTAAACAGGAAACAAAACAGAACCCGGTCCGAGGCTGTAATCAATTGGCTTTTGAACATTAGGTACCTGTACATTAGAACTAGAAGCCGCCACGTTTGCCTGATAGAGCACTACCTGACCTTGTTGTTGAGGGCCATTCACGGTATCACTCTTACGGGTCTTCGAATTATGGCGTTTACTGATCCTAACAGTATCATCCCTCAGTAGAGCTCGTCCGCGATCATTGGAGTCCGCAGCAATAATGCTTCGGGTGGCGTTCTCGCTTTTGAGTTCCTTGTTCGTCTCTGCCAGTTGATAAACAAAGCTCTCTTGGATCTTGAGCTCTCGTCGTGTCTCTTCCATCTCTTCGGACATTGCAGCGATCTGATTGAGGTAGTCGTATTGCTCGTCACTGGCCTTCTGCTTTGATACGGCGAGTTCGCGAGTCACGTCAACAAATTCCCGATCCCTCAGCGTGGCGCGATCATGTAATGCATTTCCTTGATGAGCTATATCTCTTGCAATCTTGATCTCCTCATTCATCTTCGCTTCGCGTTCCTGCGCTGCACGTTGTCCGATCATGTACAACTCGTCCCGTTCGCTCACGGCAACCCGTGCGCAATGGGCTTCTTGTTCGGCGTACCTGATGGCGTCATTTGCTTTGCTCACCAATGTACTTTGTGGCTCGTCATCAATCGCCATTGATGGTTGTGGCATCAATGCTGTATCCAATCTATCACGTAAACCACGAATAGTGTTCTCCTCGTTCTGCGAGTCCGTGGTGATCTTCACTTGATAGGAGTTGATCATCGATTGATACTGAGCGATCTCGGAAGAAATATTCCTCCTCTCTTGTTCAGCATTGTTCTTGCTAACCAATGAGCTTTCCTCTTCGTGTCTGATACGATGTTCAAGTAGATCAACGGTTGCGGCCATCCCTTGATGTCGCTTCTCGTACTCGAGGACCTTGAGTCGGGCTTCTTCTTGATATTCCCCGTAGATCCTCACAAGATGATGTGATTGATCTTCGGATAGTCTAGTCTTCCCACGTTGGATGTCAATGTATTGTGCAGCTTCTCGAAGTTGTTCGTCGGATCTTCTGAGGACATGGGCTACTTGTTGTTCCGACATACCAGCTCTCCGTTCCAGTTCCTGAATGCGTGTGACATTGCCTTGGTCGTCACGTTCATATGACTCCTGTAGCATAGCCAAATTGCGCGTAGCCTCTTCCACTTCCTGTTTGAGGGTCTTGTTCTCCTGAGCGATCTTTGACGGATTGGAGCCTGCAGGCGATTTGGATCGCTCTTTTTCCTTTCTCACAGGGCTCATTACGCTCTTTGCGCTTCTCCTCGGTGTCGATAATGAAGCCGAAGACGATCTCTTCTTTTCTCCGTCCTTGGACCACGCAGTATGACCAACTTCTTTCCAGGATGAATGTGATTGGTCGTGGCTAATACCAGAACTTGCACTTTGTTGAGTGTCCGGAGAGTCCGCGATTGCCGGCGCAGCAAACATTCTTGTGGAACCGCTGGAACTGTCATTTCCAAAAGTTGCAGTTCCTGGGCTTCCGGAAGAACCCATTGTACGGCTGTAAATAAGATTTCAAAAGGTTGTATTGTACCGCAGTTGCAATCCACCGCTGGGACCAATTGTAAGCTTACGGCTGATAACCTGCCAAGAGGCGAATCAACCACGCGGTCAGTTGACTGGGCGGTTGGGGATCGTCTCCCGTGGGGTGAACAATACCCTCGACAGTAAGTCGTGTAGTGCTGTCCGTTGTAAGGTAGGGGTTGTAAGGTAAATGGTCTGCGTCGTCTCACGACTCGAAGCGACAGCGGAGCACCGAACCTTTTGTCTTTCTCTACAGCTGTAGGTTGGATATTAACCTTGATTTATTAATCAAGGTCCTGAGTCGTATGACTCACTTGAGCCAAAGCATCCACATGCATGAGTCGGCTGTTCTCACAACAATGTTCCCACAAAGGTTTGAGGGACCTTAAAGGAGTGGGGAAGAGAACAGGGTGACCCTCAGAACCTGCCCTTAGGATTATGGCCTAAGGCCCGGAGATTCTTAGCACCAAAGGTCAAGATATATCAACCGCTCGCGGAAAATGTGATTGCATTCAACGAGGATTTCGCTGAAGTTTATCTGGACAGAGACATGACGAAGGCAGGAGCAGCCAAAGAATTTCAGCACCACGAGGATAGATTCACAGACTTCATGGAACGACTCTACAACAACCCGAAGTCTCTGCCAAAAGACCTCACCGAGTGCGAGAAGAGATCCCTATGGCATGTCGACCCAAGCGAAACCTTCAAGGAGGAAGAGTTTTACTTCCACCGCAAGGGAGAGAAGCCGACCATGCAAGAGTTCAGAGATGCTCAGCATCCCACAGGGTATCCAATCAAAATCCCAATCGGATTGAAGAAGCTAACTGGAAACGGCGATCCTTCAGTTATCAAGGCCTTCACCGACATTCTGGGATCCCTGATGCAAGCATCCGACCGAGGAGACGTTGACCATTCCAGGCATGATTTCAAATCATCCTCGACACTCAACATCCTGACAGTGAACTTCGGAGACCTTACGAGGAACCCGAGACTGAATGAAAGAGAACTCAAATATCTCCCGATGGACCAAAGGCCACTCGTAATGATGATTTTTGCAGAACAGTGCACACATCATATGCCTAAATGAGGCAGATGCCTTTTTCGACACCAACAGTGAGAAATCCAAGAATCTCATCAAGCTGTTCATCCGATCCGGATACAAAGGCATCGTATTGAAGAATTGGACGGCAAGGCCGATTGCGTGCTTCGTCCGCGGTGGTCCGCATGCAAGAGTCGAACTCCTGGCACGATACATAGGTTTGAAGAGTCAGTGCTGGAGTACAACATTTGGAATGTTCAGATGCTTTTTCGGATTGGAAGAAAACTTCACTGATCCTGAATACGACATTCCAACATCCGACTGTCTTGCGACGACCGGATCCGACATGTTCATCGACAAGTCGAAGTACATCAATAGAAGATTGCCACCCCGCACTGTGGTCCAGGCCCACGGCAAGAACCACGAGATCATTGTGATCCGAATCGAGCACCAGAATGAATTGCGCGGCGATTTTCCAAAATCTGAAGATGTACCAAGACAATATTATGACACCCGCCATGTGACTCGAGCTGACCTTCCATTTGCGACTGTTGGAGTGTCCCACATCCATCCTAGCATAACACACGGCGCAGCCAGGACAGACATCCAGGAACACATCTCGCCCTTCATTGCCGAGTATCAATGTGACGTCCTCACTGGTGATGCAAACAAATTTGCCAACACCTACAGCAAGCTTCAAGAGATCTTCAATCCAGAGCAAGGCATCGTGTACTATGCCATGCAGAACTTCAAAAGAGTCTGGAATGAGACAAGGGACATGCCCATTGAAGAGCGCCTGTGCGTTGCTATGACAACCTCATGCACCATGAAATCCATCGCCCGACATCACCTGCATACGAAGACTGGATCAGGATACGATCGGACATTTCCTGACTGTATGATGACGTTCGTTTTCGGCTGGGGCAAAACCGACATTCAAGAAGAATACCGAAGACAGGAGATGGAAAAGATGAGTCACAAGGACAAGTGTGAATTGCAAGACGATCCAAGAAAATCAATTGCAGATTACCAGGTATCGTCGGCGGAACGTTTCAAACACATCAACAACGAGATGCTAATGCTCGGAATGTGCGATTCGGACTCCCACAGTCCATTGCTGGTTTATATCCGAAGCAACGCAGCCCGACAGGAACGGAACTACATCCGATCCATGGAATATAAGAACAAGATGATGGAGACGAACTGGGGCACATATTCCACGTGGAGTTCATGGAATCAATCCGCTGACCATCGACAAGGACTACGACGCAGAAGTGCAGAGCCAAGCCAGCAGCGCCTACTGGTACAAGCAGAGGTGATTTTCTGCAAGGATCGCCTCCTTTGGCAAAATCCGGACCTCCTTTGGTCAGCCTAATTTGCCATGGAATGGAGTTTTCAGAACCACGGTCAAGAGAATGATCATACGACATCGTCACGACGAATATCGACCAATTGATCCTCATCGACGACAAGAATATTTTTCTTTGAGAGATCAATAGTTTCACACTCATCCAGATGTACATAGCGTTGTGCACCTTTCGATACAATTAGGTATCAAACAGCAGTAGCACAGAATGTTACCAAGACAATTCATCCGCGCCAAAAAGGATGAATCAATTCAATGATATACATGGCTACGGCATGAACATATTTCAACGGCTACGGTCAAAGGCCAAGAAGCCAGCATTACTCCGTAATTCAGTGCTGGTGATCAAAAGAAATTTGTGTCTGTTTTGTGTTCCGTTTTCAATGTTGGTCACCATGCAACATTTGGCTCAAGGCCTCTCTTTCTTAGTGTATAGTCATGATTGACATTGCATCCTAGAAAAGGCATTGCAGACCGCCTACAGCAGGTATACAGCAATCCATATAACCAGGACAATCCATTCTCAATCCACTGTTGGCACATTGGACTTGCGGGATAGATCCGGGGACCATATATACGACTTCTACTACCACAAGGTATCCGTTCCCTTCTGGGATAAGATACCCCCGGCAGTGGGGCTCACCCCCCCCCCCCCTGGCCCAACTCTCAACCCTCAACCGCTTCAAAGAAGCGCTTTCCGTCATCTTTGCAAGTAAGCGGCAAGTCAGCCTTCTCCCCCCGAATATTGCTATTTAGAAGACTGTCCTTATTCCTACGGCCAAGTCAGGCAGAAATGCTTTGGCAGTGCAGTCAGGTCACACGAACCTGCAGCTCGTCCTGCCCATGTGCATTGTGGCAATATCGTCCGAACTCGCAAAAGTTCGGAAACTTCTCACAAAGCTTCATCTTGGGCTTCTCCTGGCAGAGCAGTCCAGCGCACGGGTGTGGCAGCGCTGTTGCTTCCACCCACCCCAAACGTTCCCAATGACCATTGGGTAAGAACTCTTGCAGCAGCCTGCTGACTTCACTCAAAGCACCCGTCCTGCCATCCAGGTGGCTGGCGTTGCTCAGCTTCACCATGTGCGAAATCGCAGTCGCCGCCCCGGTTGCATCCTCCCTCGAAATACTGCTTGCACAGCAGTGTCTTCCTTCGGTCTCCTTCCTGCAATGTCTGATGGATGCATCCCAACTACTCCAAACACCCGTCTCAGTAAGCCAATGTCAAACACCTCCAGCTAAAATGGTTTCGTGTTCCACGGGTATTCTCCAATCGGACTCCAATCGGACAATGCTCGCTCCATGTCTTGCGGAGTTGGCGTAAGACCAACCACTGTTTTAACAACTCTCTTGAATCAAGAACATTGGGCCCAGCAGCTTATGCAGCTGGTACACACACATGCACAACCTTCTTGCTCAGCCCCCGGTGTCTCTCCCGGTGTCTCTCGTGATCCTTGACCTTATTGGCTCCACACCGACACGAACTGACAGTGGGAAGGCACACCACGCCGGCCTGCAGCTCTTCCTCTGCGTGCGCGAAGACACAATACCGACCGAACTGGCAAAAGCGCCTCTCACGGAAATGCGAGCAAAACCTTGACTTCGGCTTCTCCTGACAGAATTGCTGAAGGGCCGCTAAACTGGATGTAGGGTTTTGGGATTCGGTCAGTCAGCTCTGGGACTCCTTTCATGCCAGCATATCAGGTCTGTGCGGAAACAGGCGGTGGACAAGTCCACGGAGACTTGACGGAAAATGAAAGGCTTGGCGATTAACACACAGTGTCTGCGACGGATCCAGCCTCCCAGTCGATCGGCCGCTCTTGTTCATGCTCGCCATGGGCAAACTTGCAATCATCGCCATGTTTGCACGTTCCCATGGCTGCAAATCGGCATAGCAAAGTCTTTTGTCTCTCCCCAGCCTGCACAAAAAAGGCTGGTTGTCATAAGCACCCCAGCATCACACTGGAAAAGGATTCTGAATTGGGGGCCGGGAAAAATCCCAGATGCCCTGAGCCCTCCCTTGCTTACTTGGCGCTTCTCGTCAGTTTTGACACCCTGCTCGACTGGCGAACGCGATTCCCTGAACAAAGGGCCTCGGGCTGCGGATAGTCAACCTGCTCCGCTTCAGGCTGCGCAGTTAGGCGCGGCCCCGGTGCCTCATCAAAACCGGTTGCAATTTTCTAACCCATTCATGCATGGCAGAAACAGCTTTGCGTCTAAAAACCGCTCCGGGCAAAGGACATGGGGCCTAACCTGACAAAGAATCGCGCAAACACACAAGTCTGGCTAACTCCCAAGAAATGCTTTGGCAGTGCAGTCAGGTCACACGAACCTGCAGCTCGTCCTGCCCATGTGCATTGTGGCAATATCGTCCGAACTCGCAAAAGTTCGGAAACTTCTCACAAAGCTTCATCTTGGGCTTCTCCTGGCAGAGCAGTCCAGCGCACGGGTGTGGCAGCGCTGTTGCTTCCACCCACCCCAAACGTTCCCAATGACCATTGGGTGAGAACTCTTGCAGCAGCCTGCTGACTTCACTCAAAGCACCCGTCCTGCCATCCAGGTGGCTGGCGTTGCTCAGCTTCACCATGTGCGAAATCGCAGTCGCCGCCCCGGTTGCATCCTCCCTCGAAATACTGCTTGCACAGCAGTGTCTTCCTTCGGTCTCCTTCCTGCAATGTCTGATGGATGCATCCCAACTACTCCAAACACCCGTCTCAGTAAGCCAATGTCAAACACCTCCAGCTAAAATGGTTTCGTGTTCCACGGGTATTCTCCAATCGGACTCCAATCGGACAATGCTCGCTCCATGTCTTGCGGAGTTGGCGTAAGACCAACCACTGTTTTAACAACTCTCTTGAATCAAGAACATTGGGCCCAGCAGCTTATGCAGCTGGTACACACACATGCACAACCTTCTTGCTCAGCCCCCGGTGTCTCTCCCGGTGTCTCTCGTGATCCTTGACCTTATTGGCTCCACACCGACACGAACTGACAGTGGGAAGGCACACCACGCCGGCCTGCAGCTCTTCCTCTGCGTGCGCGAAGACACAATACCGACCGAACTGGCAAAAGCGCCTCTCACGGAAATGCGAGCAAAACCTTGACTTCGGCTTCTCCTGACAGAATTGCTGAAGGGCCGCTAAACTGGATGTAGGGTTTTGGGATTCGGTCAGTCAGCTCTGGGACTCCTTTCATGCCAGCATATCAGGTCTGTGCGGAAACAGGCGGTGGACAAGTCCACGGAGACTTGACGGAAAATGAAAGGCTTGGCGATTAACACACAGTGTCTGCGACGGATCCAGCCTCCCAGTCGATCGGCCGCTCTTGTTCATGCTCGCCATGGGCAAACTTGCAATCATCGCCATGTTTGCACGTTCCCATGGCTGCAAATCGGCATAGCAAAGTCTTTTGTCTCTCCCCAGCCTGCACAAAAAAGGCTGGTTGTCATAAGCACCCCAGCATCACACTGGAGAAGGATTCTGAATTGGGGGCCGGGAAAAATCCCAGATGCCCTGAGCCCTCCCTTGCTTACTTGGCGCTTCTCGTCAGTTTTGACACCCTGCTCGACTGGCGAACGCGATTCCCTGAACAAAGGGCCTCGGGCTGCGGATAGTCAACCTGCTCCGCTTCAGGCTGCGCAGTTAGGCGCGGCCCCGGCGCCTCATCAAAACCGGTTGCAATTTTCTAACCCATTCATGCACGGCAGAAACAGCTTTGCGTCTAAAAACCGCTCCGGGCAAAGGACATGGGGCCGAACCTGACAAAGAATCGCGCAAATACACAAGTCTGGCTAACTCCCAAGAAATGCTTTGGCAGTGCAGTCAGGTCACACGAACCTGCAGCTCGTCCTGCCCATGTGCATTGTGGCAATATCGTCCGAACTCGCAAAAGTTCGGAAACTTCTCACAAAGCTTCATCTTGGGCTTCTCCTGGCAGAGCAGTCCAGCGCACGGGTGTGGCAGCGCTGTTGCTTCCACCCACCCCAAACGTTCCCAATGACCATTGGGTGAGAACTCTTGCAGCAGCCTGCTGACTTCACTCAAAGCACCCGTCCTGCCATCCAGGTGGCTGGCGTTGCTCAGTTTCACCATGTGCGAAAGCGCAGTTGCCGCCCCGGTTGCATCCTCCCTCGAAATACTGCTTGCACAGCAGTGTCTTCCTTCGGTCTCCTTCCTGCAATGTCTGATGGATGCATCCCAACTGCTCCAAACACCTGTCTCAGTAAGCCAATGTCAAACACCTCCAGCTAAAATGGTTTCGTGTTCCACGGGTATTCTCCAATCGGACTCCAATCGGACAATGCTCGCTCCGTGTCTTGTGGAGTTAATAACATAGAGCCGGCGAAGCCGGTGGTCGGAAGTTTCTAAACATATAAAAGTTATAGTTATCTTTCTTTTCTCTTTCCTTTCCTCTTTTCTTTCTCTTACTTTGTTTCTTTATGTTCTCTTTTCTTTCTCTTTCTCTTTATCTGTCTGATTCATTTCTCTTCCTCTTTCTATTCTATTTTCTTTCTCTTTCTCTTTTTCTTTCTCTTTCTGATGATTTTATCTTGTATTTATCTTTCTTTTCTCTTTTCTTTATCTTTCTCTATCTTTTCTCTTTCTCGTTATCTTTCTCTTTTCTTTCTCTTTATCTTCCTCTTTTGCTTTCTCTTTCTTTTATCTTTCTCTTTCCTTTCTTTATCTTTCTTTTCTCTTTCTCTTTCTCGTTCTCCTTATCTTTCTCTTTTTCTTCTTTCTCTTTATCTTTATCTTGCTCTTTCTTTTCTTTCTCCGTCTCTTTTCATTTCCCTTTCTCTTTCTCGTTCTTTTCTCTCTCTCTCTCTGTTTATTTTTCTTTGTCTGTCTTTTATCTCTATCTTTCTTGTTCTTGTCTTTTTTATTTATTTGTCTCTTTCTCTTTATGTTCTCTTTTACTTATCCTTTCCCTTTCTCTTTCTCTTTCGCTTTCTCTTTATTTGTCTTTCTCTTTCTCTGTATGTTCTCTTTATCTTTATCTTTCTTGTCTTTGTTATTTCTCTTTCTCTTTAAATATCTCTTTATCTTTCTCTGTATGTTATCTTTTACTTATCTTTATCTTTCTCGTTCTCTTTCTTTTTATCTTTCTCTGTATTTTCTGTATCTTTCTTTTCTCTTGTTCTTTCTCTTTCCTAAAAGTAGTAGTAGTACTAGTACTAGTACTAGTAGTGCTAATAGTAGTAGTAGTAGTAGTAGTAGTAGTAATAGTAGAGTAGTAGTAGTAGTAGTAATAGTAGAGTACTAGTACTAGTACTAGTATACTAGTAGTGCTAGTAGTAGTAGTAGTAGCAGTAGTACTAGTACTAGTACTAGTAGTGGTGGTAGTAGTAGTAGTAGAAGAATAATGATAGCTGGTTCGGACTATCTTCGATGCCTAGCAGTATGTATGTTGCGCGACCTTTGCCGTGGATACTGTAGAAGCATTAGTAGTGGTAGTGGGGCGTACTAGTCTATATTTAGAAGTGCCTAATTAATGAATGAATGTAATTAGCAATTATCTTCGGGACGTTTCAGACCATGTTCCGGACTGTTTCGGACTGTCTTCGATGCCTAGTTTCACATGGCTCAGCCACAGCCCGCAGCGGGCGCTTCCTGATGCCTACCAGTATGTTGCGCGACCTTGCCGTGAAGATCACGGACGGACGGACGGGCGCGAGCCCGACGGGCGTGCGCCCGACGGGCGCCCGCCCGACGGGCGCCCGCCCGACGGGCGCCCGTCCGACGGGCGCCCGTCTGACGGGCTAGTAGCAATGTAGTAGTAGAAAGTAGTAGTAGTAGTAGTAGTAGTAGTAGTGGTGGAAGTACTCGTAGTAATTGTAGTAGTAGCCGTAGTAGAAGTAGAAGTAGAAGTAGAAGTAGTAGAAGTAGTAGTAGTAGAAGTAGAAGTAGTAGTAGTAGTAGTAGTAGCAGTAATAGCAGTGTAAAAATAATAGTAGTGTGATAAGAATACTAGTAGTAGTAATAATCGTAATAGTACTTTTAGTGGGGCAATTTGCTCAAATGGGCTTGTCCGTCTGTGGTGGCTTGAGGCACTTCGGGGCTGTTTCAGAGATGTTTCCGAACTGTTTCGGACTGCTTTGGCCCTGTGCAGTTTCGGTTTTGAAGCTTGAAACTTTGGAACCCTGTCTCCCACTTTTGTCGTAATAGTAGTACTAGTAGTAGTAGTAGTAGTAGCAGTAATTGTAGTAGTAGGGAGTAGCCGTAGTAGAAGTAGAAGTAGAAGTAGAAGTAGAAGTAGTAGTAGTAGTGGCAGCAGCAGCAGTAGCAGCAGCAGTAGCAGTAGTAGTACTAGTACTAGTACCAGTACTAGTACTAGTACTAGTAGTGCTAATAGTAGTAGTAGTAGTAGTAGCACTAGTAGTGCTAAGAGTAGAAGTAGTAGTAGTAGTAGTAGTAGTACTAGTAGTAGTAGTAGTAGTAGTAATTGTAATAGTAGTAGCCGTAGTAGAAGTAGAAGTACAAGTAGAAGTAGAAGTAGTAGTAGTAGCAGCAGCAGCAGTAGCAGCAGCAGCAGCAGTAGCAGTAGTAGTAGTAGTAGTGGTAGTGGTAGTGGTAGTGGTAGTGGTAGTAATAGTAGTAGTAGTAGTAGAAGTAGTAGAAGTAGTAGAAGTAGTAGTAGTAATAGTACTAGTAGTAGTAGTAGTAGTAGTAATTGTAATAGTAGTAGCCGTAGTAGAAGTAGAAGTACAAGTAGAAGTAGAAGTAGTAGTAGTAGCAGCAGCAGCAGTAGCAGCAGCAGTAGCAGTAGTAGTGGTAGTAGTAGTAGTAGTGGTAGTGGTAGTGGTAGTGGTAGTAATAGTAGTAGTAGTAGTAGTAGTAGTAGAAGTAGTAGAAGTAGTAGAAGTAGTAGTAGTAGTAATAGTAGTAGTAAACACATTCGTTATCGTTTTTGATTCTTCCTTATCGTTTTACAGGCGTTCCGCCATGCGCCTCCTCTCCGGACGAAGCCTTACATAATGTAAAGGCGCGGGGTTTTCACACAACCCCTATCTCACTGCCAATGCTCCGCCCAGAAGCGGCCTCTGCAGCCATCTCTGCACCACCGACCTACGCGGGTTCAATCCTCTAGGCTTTCAATCCTCGCTTGCGGCATTTCCACATTGCCATGGAAAGGACTTCTGCAGGATTGCATTTGCTGAATTTTGCGCCTATCCCCTTAGCGTAACTTGGGCCGGAGCATGCGTGGCAAACAAATATATATTGTTCCGTGTCTGCTGTTGGACGCATTCTGCCGAAACCTTCCACCAGGTCTGCGAGTCTTGGCCCGAAGTTTCTTCTCTTGCGAAAAAATACGCCAAGCGCACTCTTTTCCCAGTCCCACTGACCGCTTCGGGACTCAGCGCGTCACCCAGGAAGACGGCCTGGGCCAGGTGCAAAAGGCACACCCGATGTGCTACCGTCTTTTTTAGGGGTGTCTACTAGTGAAAGTGTTTTCCATAATTCAGGATCCTGTGAGCGTTTAAGCGTCCCCTATTCTTGAAAGGGTTTTCCCAAAAAAGGCACCCAAAAAAAACGAGGGGAGACAAAAAACGGACTCCCCTGTAGCGTGAATTGGGGATGGACTAGGATCTGAACGGCCCTCTCAGGGCAGAAAGCATCAGTCGAGGTTTCAACTGAAACACAGGGCTCGCACACCCCCAAGCTACAAGGCATACAAGGCCTGAGGGCCAAAGGCTCTTTCCGACACTGTCAACTACATCACAGGCTTGGCACTTTCCTTGCGGGCAGATAGTCTTCACAACAAACCAGCGGCACGTTGCACAAGTCGGGCAAGTTGGGCAGCGCAGCTTGGCTGTAGCTTAGCCTTCGACCTCTTCCTCCTCAAGAATCTTCCGAGCCCTTCCGAGCCCTTCCGAGAGGTCTTGGAGTCTTCTTCTCTGGTGTCTCCACTTCCGCTAAGGCTCTTGATGTCCATTGTCGCATGCCTGCGGGTGAGCTTTGTGTCAGGTTGATGTCGCCGTCGCCTGGTCCGAATTCCAGGTGGTACATAGAGTTTTTAATGATCAAGTGCGGCTCGGGCATCCTTTGCCTCTAAGCCTCAGTGGTTCACCATGCTGCCCTGTGGCAACATTCACTTGCTCGGAATGGTAAAGCGTGCAGCGCCTATCTCGGTGCTCCTCCAGTAAATTCTTTCCATCTTGAATCGTCCTATTGAGACTACCGTCTGAGCCCTTCTGCAGCTGCTGCAAGCCAGTTGCTCGCTTCGATCTGGCTCTAACGTCAATCTGGAAAGCCTCTGCCATGTCGAGCTCTACCAATACAACAGAGTCCCACTTCACTCTCTTGAATTTCTCTTCGCCCAACTTAGGGATCCGATTCATGTAGTCTTGCACAAGGAACTTGCGATCGGGTGACAGCCGATGCTCTGGCACAAAAGCCAAAGCACCCGTCACCCAGTAGGAAGTCTTGTCAGGGCCCCACATGTCTTCATTATACTTCTCAGCCAGATCAGTCGTCTTCAACAGTTGGAACTGGTGCTTGTACTCCAAGACCACGCATGGGAATTGCATTTGCGCATTTGGAAAGAGTTTACAGGCGAAGGATTCCTCGCAAGCTTGCAGTCTGCGCAGGTACTCCATGGCATGCTGCGCTCCCTTTCCAGCACCTTCTGGCTTTCCCGCAGCATCATCCAAATGCTTGTCCAAAGATAAGAGCGTGTACACAATGGCGGCACTTGCATGATCAAGGCTCTGGAAAAGCAGAGTGAGGCGCTTGTCAGAACAATCAATGAGCAGAGCTTGCCTTGCAAAGGCCTCGGCAAGCTGAGACCATGTTCCAAGCAAGTTCTTCACAAAGTCCCAAAAGTCATCGGACAACGCGCTGGCTAGATTGGAGCAGTGACGCGGGCGCTTCATGTTTCGACCCAAGGCCATGTCACAGGTCTGTAAGAGCCCCTTGTTGAAGGGAATGTCAGCCAACAAATATCCACCTGCTGTCTGTTCAGCTGACTGCATCAGAAGTAAGAAACATCATGACTTCGATGACCCATTTCAGCCTGTGAAGCAACATTCGCAACTCTGGGTCTGCAAAATGTACGTCAGCCAACTGCACCTTCCATGGTTTTTGCAGGACGGCCAACGCAACAATCTGCTGCACAATGCTGGTGATCCTGTTCTTAAGAAGGCTTTCCCCCCTGCCCTCTGTGTCAACTGGGCGCACAAAGAGTGCGACGTCCTGAAGGCAAATTGGATGCCAAACCAGCTTCTTGCCCAAGGTAAACAGCGAATCTAACATGGATCCGTATACATCAGCATGAACAAAGCCATGTACCTCCACCGCTTCGAATCGCGCGAACTGTTCAAATAATGAATCGATCATGCCAGAATTCAGGTGCTGTGTGTCCTGTATCTTTGGAATGCACAGCTTCGAGGCAGTTGGCTCGGCTGCTTTCAAATACTCCAACAGCACCTCCAGCTGCGATCGGCCTTGCGAAACCCAAAGCTTGACTAATGCACCTGCGTTGCTCTCTTCTTCCTGCTCCACGAAGTGAATCTCGAGGACTGATCTAGGAGAAGGTGCTGGCATTGGGATCTCCAAACCGAGCAGCTTGCCTTGCCTCTATACCAATTCGATGCAGCTCTGAAACTGACGATCGACCAAGAGCTGGAGACAACTGTGCTTCTCCTTCAGGCTGCGACTGGTTCACTGAAACTTAAAAAAACAGAAGCCTCAAACTACATGATTACGCAGTTTCTCCAAGGCTTGTCCCTGTTGCATCCAGCCTGATTCGGGTCCTCCAACACTTTCACGAAATCCTTTCTTTTCGCGAGATGTTCCAAGAGCACCTCCAAAGACTCGAGGCGACCATGCATGCAGGCCGTGTGGAGCGCACTTCTCTGGCGCTCCCCGCTTTTGAAAGCAACATCTGCAAGCACCAACCACTTGTCAGCTTGGGCAGAATTGGAATAATTCTCAAGAAGCCATCGCACGCATAGCGGAAAGTTCTTCTGCACCAAGATATTCAGCAGGGTATTACCACTTTCAAGTGACATATGCGCCAGTTGCCGAATGTAGGGTTTCTTCCTTGTGCCGACTTCGCAGGAATAGCACTGATACCACGAAGCTGCTCCCTGTTCATAATACCCTTTGAGCCAAGACTGAAAGTTGGTTTCCCGGAGTTTGGCTTGCAAGGCCTTCAGAGCGTCTTCATCAATGTCGTAGCCAATCTCCCGGATGAAAGGCTGCAACTCATCAACAATCTCCTCGAAGATGCTGGGGGTCATCGCGGGGCCAGCTCCAGGAGCTTCCGGCAGTCATGACTTGGGGAGAAAGTCATATGATCTGCAACGACATGCCAAGTAGTCTGCACCTCGCAGGGAACATGGAGCCGGAAACTTCTGGCAGGCAGCCATTATGCGTGTAATGCTGCTGGCTCCTCTCTTGCCAACCCCTTGCGCAGCACAATGATAATACAAAAAGGACCAGATTGTTGACAGGCAAGTTTGAGAATCGAGGCGATTCTTTGATTGTACCCGACGATACAGGATGCATCGTCCCTCCAAAAACGTACAATGTACCAAGTATCAATGATACCGTAAATCCCTGGCAGGCCCGAAGTTGTTCTTTTATTCTGTTGCCTCGGCAGTCGCTCCGCGGCTGCTTCAGTAATAGCAAATGACCGTGAGGGCAGGTGCTATACAAGGCTTGAGCCAATTGCAGTGTGTAAAGGTTCAATTTTGCACCTATCGCTTACAAACTATTCACACCCCCCACACAGTGTATTTCATTCTGATGTACCCGCGCAGAGGCTGAAATTGTTAGTGGTATAGTTTGCTCCCACTAAAAACAAAGAGTAAGCAGCACTTTTTCTGCGCACAGCAAGTCCAACTTTGTCATAAATAAAAAGTTACGTCCTCTTAGTGGTGGCTAACTAGCCCAGGGCCCCTTGCCCGTTTCTTGACAAACTGGGGGCCTCAGGATTTCCCTTTCCCGCAAGAAAGAGGAAATCCCCCCCCGCACCCCCCCTAGCTCTTCCGCCAAGCCGGAAGAAACTAGGGCGCTCAGGTGCCATTTCGAGGCCGTTTGAAAAAGAAACTCCGGAACAGCCTAGCCACCACCCCTTTTTCCCTCTTTTCGTGGGAAGGGTGGGCGGGACCTTAAACTGACGTGGCTGCGGCAGACAAGTGCTTTACTCTTTATACCCGCTACGTGAGTCCAAAGAGTAAGCAGCACTTTTTCTGCGCACAGCAAGTCCAACTTTGTCATAAATAAAAAGTTACGTCCTCTTAGTGGTGGCTAACTAGCCCAGGGCCCCTTGCCCGTTTCTTGACAAACTGAGCGCCTCAGGATTTCCCTTTCCCGCCAAGCCGAAGAAAGAGGAAATCCCCCCCCGCACCCCCCCTAGCTCTTCCGCCAAGCCGGAAGAAACTAGGGCGCTCAGGTGCCATTTCAAGGCCGTTTGAAAAAGAAACTTCGGAACAGCCTAGCCACCACCCCTTTTCCCTCTTTTCGACCTCTTTCCACGTCCCCCTGTACTGCGTCTAGACGCTCGCTCGAGCCTCGGCAGCGCACTTCTAAGTGCGTTTTGGTATAATCGAACCCAAGCACTCAGTTGGGATTGAGAGAACCTCATCTCGGCTAACATTGCCAGCCCTTCGTTTAGGTAAATGCGGGCAGTCTTCGCTGCCTGCCACCTACCTTGGACCAACAACCTGTCAAATTGGCCATGACGTTGGAACCAAAAGGTTGCACCACCCCTGCGCAGGCTATACGGCCGAAACTCAAACTCAGTCACTCGAATGTCAGCCAGGAGCTGATTAAAAGTTTTTCGCCAGGTAGACGGGGAGGCGCACATATAGGAGCCACTGGGCACTGAAAGCAGCCACTGTTCAAGACGCCGCACCACATCCCATACGGTGATTGTGCAGCTTTCGGCAGCTCCCTGACGTTTGCCTCCTTTCGTCCAACCTAGCGAAATAACCGCGGTTTTGTGATCCGCACTCACTGAAACGTGACGAGCTTGAATGCTAAGCAACTCTCCAGTGCGTAGCAAGCCATAAAATCCCACAAGCAGAGAAAGAGCCATTCTGTGGTTTTCCTTGAACAAACATCGGCCCACCATGGCCTTTAAAAGGCTCTCCGGGAACGGAGGAGCTCTGTTTGGTATCTCATTGCTGTTCCACGCCTTCATGAGGCGCCATGCTTGGGGCATTTGTGGCGGAGGCTGGGGTCCAAATCTTGCAGTCCGGCTAGGGTATCCGAAGCCAAAGCCCTGCCTTCTCCCTGGGACCACAGAGTCTCGATATAATCGGAGACCAACTCATCCATTAAAAGTTTCTGCTTTGGAATTGCGATCCCTGCATCTTGCAAATGCGTTAAAAAACGCGTCCGAGCTTTCTCATATCTGGTACGCGTGGCTGGCTGCACAGTCAAACTTTTGCGTGAACCCAAACCTTTCCGAATCTTTGCTCGCTCCCGTTGCGACCTCCCTTCAACGTGCTTCATTGCTTTAACCATTTGCGGCGGACACCTCTCCTGCTTGGCCTATCGGCCGGATTCTGGTGCGTGCGCACATACCCCCATAGGGGCTGGGAGCGTGTCGCGAGGAGTAAGCAATTGATTCGGGTTAGGGTTCTACGAAGTTTGCGGCTCGACGTGCGGCCACGACAAAGGCTGTGCAGGCAAACCAGAGAGTCAGTGAGATGGATCCACCTCTTGTGCATCTGTCCACGTTGTTCGAGGCGCCACTTGACCGTGCTCAGAATGGCGCGCAATTCCAAAACGTTGATGTGGTCCGTATGTGATTTCCAAGTCCATCCCGCCACAGTTTTCCACCGCCACAATCTGCTGGGGATAGATGCTCGCAACCTGTGGAACCGGACATGGACATCGGTAGAAGCCTGAAGAAGGAGATCCTCCCCTTTTATAGAAATGACCCCAAGGAACTTCTTTACGAGTTGCAATGATGTATCAACTTTGGTGCCCCTGACAGCCCTCAAAGGGGGCCGCAGTAGTACTCCCTGGAAAGTAGGAGACCATCCGGGCGTGAGGCTCTTCACGATGTCCTGCAAAGACCGCGGTGCACACAGTTCCAACGGGAAGAACAGCCAGTATACCAACCAGGTGATCACGAAGAGGTTCCACGAATTGCCCACTAGACTAAGCCGACAATCCTCGAACTGGATGTTGCCATGTTGCGACTTGGGCATGCAGGCCTTGGTGTATCCCAAAGGGAACCCCATGGCCACCTCCCGCTCTTCGATGTCAGGAGGACGGATGTCGCCCTGCTTGTTCCACACACAAAACTTGTCCTTGTACTGGTACGGCGGAAATCTGTGACGGTCAGCTTCCCACCGGGACCGCTCATGTGGCTGGCATGTTCCCAACCCAGCAGGCTTGCGGCCAGGCGTGGGGGAAGGCCGGCTAGTGGTGAAGGTAGGAAACACTCCACTCGGAGGCGGCTTCCAACCTCCCTTCAAAAAGTCTTTCCAGTCCACAGTAGCGCTTAAGCTCACCAGGCCGACATCTTTGCCAGGAGCCCCGGGCGGTTGCAGCTTTGAAACTCCTTCGCCACCACCCAGCTCCCAATCGACCCAGTACAGCCTCGGACGCCGGCAAGGACTGACCTGACCACTGTCAACATGCCAGGGCCCAAATCCTATGGTCTCACTCATGTGATGCCGGTCACAGTCATCCATGGATGCAACACTTTCCATGAGGAACTTCACCTGGCACCAGGGGAAACATCGGCGGATCAGCGCGGTAATCCGGGGCACCTCTGCAAAGAGGCAGCTTCGTGCATCTTTCAAAGCACCCTTCTTGTCAGCGTTGAGCCCGGAGACCCCCTGGCAAGGGGGTCCGGCTCCTATGAGCACTACTCCTGCCGAGGAGAACTGGGTGGACCACTGCAGAACGACTTCCTCAGTTACAGTGCGGACATCATCCCACATCACGGTACCTGGGAAGAAACTTTCGACCACCCTGCGGGCCGGGGCATGTGATTCAACGGAAATGTGTCCACACATAGGCAAGCCAAGCGCATCACAAGCCAAGCGAAGAGCTCCAAGGCCATCAAAAACGCCTACAGTCAACACCTGACACATATCATGGGTTCAGGCCAGTCCCCCCGGATACTGGCCTGGGAGGCATGAACCCCATAACTCGTGAGGCCTTCCGTGACGCAGATGCCCCCACCAGTGGTGGACGCATCACTTGCAGTGACAGCTCCTACCAGCTCACCCCGGAAGTCCAGTTGTGCCAGAGGGACCAAACACAAGAAACGCACCAGCTCGGCCACCACGGCAGGAGGTAGAAGCTGAGGCTTGCCAGCTCCGTGCTTCAGAACCTCAATGTGACGCCACACGCAATTGAGGGCACAAAACAGCGGGCGCCTGAACATAGCAATGTATACCAGTCCTCCGGCGACCACTTGCAGATGTTTGAGGCCAGCTCGGCCCCACACAATCAGCTCCACCGCCAGACCCATGTACTTAAGTACTTTCTCCGGGCGGGGAAAAGCCACTCCTTCTTTGCCCCTGACGACAGCACCTTGCACCTCTGCCCTTTCAGCACTAACCACACTCTTCTTGGGATGCCGAGGCAGGCAGGCCGACTCGTAGGCCTTCCTGACAGCCTCCTGTTCCGGGCTCTCCCTCCCCTCCAGCCTGAAGGCCAACTGGGAGTCCACTTTCTGGATGAAATCGAAGTTGTCGAGGTAGATCCTAAAAAGGTGGGAGCTCGCGGGGAAACTCTTGTCTTTGCGGATCTCTTGATCTCCCGTCAAAAGGAGGGGGTCCACGCTCCTAATCACGTTATGGTGCACATGCTGGGCGATGCTAACCCCATAGGGAGGACCTTGGCGGCAAGGACGCACTTCCTCCCAGTAAGGGAGGAGGGAACGAGGTCCTCTGGGACAATCTTGTTAAGCCCCAGGAATCTTTTCCACGCGGGGGGAACCTGGAAAAGATAGAAAAAGCATCTGATGTCTTCAGACGACAGGAGGGCCACTTCGGACTCCTCCAACACGCAGGCGGACATCCCCAAAATTTGGGGCAACGTACCAACGTCACCGGAAACACTTCGGCAGTTTCTGTTCAAAGGGATCAAGTTCATGATCAACCGGAGTGTCTCCTTCCCGTTCACAAACTCGCCTTTTCCAACTCCGAACATGCCATTCAGGAGGGGTTGACCTTGTATGTGAAACAGCTCATCCAAAGGCACCACCTCGCAGATCCCTTTACCCATCAGGCCTTGGCAAATAGAAGGCCACTCTTCGGCATCGGCAAAAACTCGGGGAGGCTTGCCTAGACTCATCTCATTTGAAGGAACCAAGAAGTCCTCGAAATGGTCCACGTAAAAGCGGGTTCCAAGGGTGCAAAGCTCTGCCAAGTTGAGTTTCCCTAGTTAATCCGGGAGAGCAGGGGCAAGGCACTCCCAACTAAGGTTGACAGCAAGTTTCAACCTCATCCCCCTTGTAGTCAATGCCTTTGACCCTCAGGAAGTCCGAAAAGTTCACATCTTGAAAAACCTCAACCCAACTCTCACAAACCTCAACGGCCGCCGCGAGTTGTTTCACGGCCATGCGTCCAGCGTGCGATGACCGGCCTTGCGGGTCTGGGCATCCCGCAAGGGAGTTGAGACTCCGGCACACTGCGGACAGCAGCGCATGCTTGGCGGGTGAAAGCTCGGATGGGATTGCTAGGGGAAGAGGAAATATGGATTTCCCTTCCATGGGCTGGGACTTGCAGTGCAACATTCCAACAGTGAAAAGATCTAGCAAATCCACCAGGCATCCACCAGCCTCGCCTAAGGTTAACCCCGGGAGCCTCAGCTTGATAGCGTTCAGCCGCTCTTGCACGGCCAGAGGGCGCCCAGGAGGGGGACCTTCACGGTCGACCGCCTCCCCGGCTCCCAGGAGAGATCTCCAACGCGGAGCCCTCTCCCGAATGCCTCCTCTTCATCACTTCTTCTCCTCCTTCTTCCTGGGCCAATCTTTTGCACGACCCTTATCCTTCCCCTTCTCACCTTTTCCTTTTGCACCACCTTTCTCATCTCTGCCTCGCTGCCCATACGGCACCCAACCTGAATCTGAACCTCCTCTTCCTTGTGCCCGGGAGCCAGCAGACAAAGCTCGGGCCTCATCTCGTGCTACCTTAGCCGCATCATGCACCTCGGTATAGCGCGCCACACGGGATGCATCCATGGGCAAGAGCTCCATCTTCTGCATCACCGAATAGTGAAGGCCAGCAGCAACGCCTTCCAGGCTCTTGATCCTTTGCACCAAAAGGTCGCCTAGCTCTGCAGCCCGGCCTTGCAACAGGAGATCCAACCCGTAGCACAGGGTGTGGGTCTCCCGAGCCATCGGAGGTGCCATCCTCGACATTAAGGTCTGCCTGAAGTACATGGTGCTCAGAGGAGGAAGTGGGCCATCCTCCAAATCCCACAACTCCGTGTTCTTCAGGAGGCTGGCTCGCATCTCCCTGATCCCTTCAGCCGCCAACACGCCTGGGAAGCGGCGGCCCACCTCTTCGCGCCTCGTGCTGCATCCGAAAAGCTCCTCAGGCTCCTCCTCAGACTTCGAGGACGATGAGGCCCTCCCCGAGCTATCATCTGACCTCTTCCTTTTCTTCCTTGCTGCCCTGGATGCTCGCCTCAACAAGATTTTCCTCACCTCAGGGTCCGGGTCCAATCCCGTGGACCCCGCCACATCCTTCAACGCCTTCTTACCTTCAAGCACAACCTTCTTCTTCCTTTTCTTTCCTCTCTTCTCCTTAGCCTCCTTTCTTTTCTTCTGATCCGCCTCCAAGTCCCCCGCCTCGGGCTCATAGGAGTTCTCATTAGGAGCAAGAGCTCCCGCAACTCCTGCATTTTTTAGCTTCTCTGCTTCTCCACGAAGAGCACGATTCTCATCGGGTTCCACCCTGCACGCATTCGACATCCACGCCTCAGTGGGCAGGCACGGGCGCTCCCACAGGTGACGCAGAAGCCTCCCTCCTGCCGGAGGGGGCTCAGCCGGCCTAAGAGCCCCTAACCCAGCGGGCACAGCAGGTCCAGCACCACCGGCTTTGACCTGAGCGAAAGTGCGACCCTCCCGCTGCCTCTGGAGCCGAGCGCCCCAAGACAGGAGGGTCGAGGAGAAATCCCCGATTCTCCTCCCAAGCTCCTCGTTGTCCTCCCGCTCAAAACCACGGAGGACAGCGAATCGGAGCTGTTCCAAGGAGCTACACACCGTGCACCACCGGAAGGTCCCGTACTGACCTTCGCGCAGTGGGCACGGCTGCTCCCCCATCCAACTACGCCACACCTTAAACTGACGTGGCTGCGGCAGACAAGTGCTTTACTCTTTATACCCGCTACGTGAGTCCAAGTGATATACACACACATTCTGCCGACTCTTTTATTCTCCTATCGAATAATTTCATCATAGACATCAGGCTGCGACACCTTCAAGTACTATGATACAGGGTTGCACGAATTCCAGCGGCGTACACTGGGTACTAGTGGTCTGATGGACAGTACCGCTTTCCCCGTAAATGTGCCCAATACTTGGCAAGAATATCGTCAAGGACACCATGGTGATAATAAGGCTTATTTAGTGTCTGTCACCACCCGCAGAAAATCGGTGTCGACATGCAATCATCCTCTCGGGATGCGACGATATATTTGGCGGCCCCAGTGACCCCATCGCAACGTCATCGACACTGCCTAACCCGTCTTTCGGCACGGCAGAGCGGCGCATCAGCGCTTCGCCCGCTCTATCCCGTAGGGTCCGGCCGGTCCATACCTTAGCACTTGGGCTCTCGGGGAGTGTTTCTCCTCTTCTGCAGCGTGCCATTTGCGAACGATTACTGATACCCAGGGTCCCCCCATGCCTGGTCCAAAACATATTCCAATTGTTGTGAAATACGCCATTATCCCGCTTGTCCGAATACCTGCTCCGAGATTGATATTGGTGCAATTGATGCAAAAGAGAAAACATAAATGTCGCGTTAGCGGATTGGGTGGTTGCTACGTACCCTCTCCGCCCACGAATATACTTCCAAATAAGAAATACACACATAAGGAAAGGAATGTGCGTAATATTGGAAATGATGCGTGCGTGATCATAGTTGCGCCGAAGTACTCGCGGTCTGTTGCGCAGTACCGTTTTCCTTCGTATATGCGCCCAATGACCGATGCGCAATGGCCCATGGAAGGCGGTGACGCATATGGCGTCAATAGCTCTCATCGTGGTACCACCAATCATCATCCCGCATGTCGGTGTGACCCGTCCAGAGATGGTCACGAACATCCGCGCGATCACGGACATCGGCGCGGTCCCGCGCAAAGTTGCTTGGCGGGGTCCAATGGTAACCTCCCTTGTCTTTTCCTTTTCCCTTTCCTTTGCACTTTCCTTCGCCTCCCTTCGTCTTGCCTTTGGCTGCAGGGCCAGATGAAGGTCCCGCAGAACGGTCGGCGGGGCTCACGGACCTAGGAGTTCCTGGCCCCTCACCCGATCGTCTTCTCTCGGTCGACGAAGGATCCTCCGCCTCGACCCAGCCCTTCTTGGCCCTCACCTTCTTGGTCTTCCCCTGAGCATCAAATTTTGATCCTAATCAATCTTTTGATATTGAAAACGATTTTGATTTGAAATCAATATAAAATAATTGATTCTGTCGTTTTCGCGATCAATCTGAGAGCATGTGTTTTCAAGTCTGAAATTCAATGCAAAAATCAACCCAAAAAAGCTATACTTTTCATAGGCAAAATCAATCTGAAAATCAATATGAAAATCAATATCCAAATCAATATCCAAATCAATATCCGAATCAATATCAGAACATGAAGAAACTCATTTGATATCTATGTCTCTTTTTCTAATCTTTCTCCAGGTCATTTTGCAGAACTCCAGGCTCCTTTCTCAAGGGGATTCACTCTCGATCCTTTCTCAAGGAGGTTTACTCAAACTGTCTCTGCAGGCTCCTTTCTCAAGGGGATTCACTCTCCTTTCTCAAGGAGGTTTACTCAAACTGCCTTTGGCACAGCTCGAACCCTTCCCTTGTCAGCAGGAGATCTAGCAGAAGCTTGTACTTAGGGCAAACTTTCTGAGATATTTTGGTCGACCTCACTCCCGTGCTCACTGAGTGCGCAAGCAGAGCCATTTTCCCCACGAAATCTTCGCAAGAAAAGCACCAGTGCGCCCTGGGGTTCAAGCACTTGCTGTTCTCAACCAAGTGTTGGAAGGTGTGAAAATTAAAGCAATATGGAATATTTTTCTATTTGCTTCTGCTGCCCATTCATGGAGCTGCGCGTATGTGTCCTGGGAGGAAAGCAGGGGCTAGCCACTTAGACTCAGCTCCCTTGGCCTTCAGCGCTGGGTAAGAGCTGTGAGGCGCTGCTGTGTCACAAATCATGGACAGCCTGAGGTTGGTCAGTCTTGTGGGGGACTGCCGCCATTTATATTCCTTTTGCAAGGCTTCAAAGATAAGGCCAAGCCTTTGCTTAGGCTCTATCTTCTGCCTGACACCAGCCCCAACACCATCGTGCCAGCATAGATAATGAATAATGCTGCCAAGCAAGTGGGAGTAAACCCCATGGTCAAACAAAATGTGCAGGCCGTCCCCTCTTACAAACTTGGTCGTGAGCCCAGGAATCATGTGAAAGAGGGGGTGGCTTGACCTGGGGTGTTCTCTTGCCTCACTGTTTGGAGCCACGGTAAATTCTTGCTTCCCTTTCTCAAGGGTTGCAAAGCACATCCCTGGCTTACCCTTTGCCTCGGCCCGCGCCTTTCCCAAGGCGTTGCACTCCCAGCAGGGGTTGTGCGATTGCCAGTGGGGCAATTTCAAGGTGTTTGAAAAGAACTCGTGGTCCCCCATCACGCACCAAATTACCGCCCTTAGCCCTCCGGCAAGAGGAGTGCCTTTTGCAGCGTAGAAGGGCGAGTCCTTTTTCAAGGGCGCGCCGTCTGGATCATGAGTGGGGTGCAGGCCTGTGCCCAAGGCGCAGAAGCTCCAGCACAGCCACTTCATGATGCTATCCCATGTTTTTTCTGTAGTGCAAGATTTGGGGAAGGAGGCCATGAGAATTTCCTTTTGGAAGGGTCCATACAAGTTGATCAAGGCGCCCCAGGACCAGACCATGAGACTATCTCTAGTCTGATATTCAACCCCGTCGCCATGCACGAACAGGGGTATGGTCTTTTTCCTCCACCTTTGGACCTTCATTGGGTGGTGGTCCAGCCGGTCGTCCCCACACTTTTCAGCATCCCTCCAAAAGGTCGCTAGGCTTTCAACGCCAAACAAAGCTGAAAAGCTGCTGTAGGAAGTAAGGCTGGCAAACACCATGTGCGGGAGAAAGCAGGCAGCCATCTCCTCGTCCTTTTTCAAGGTTTTGGGGTCCAGGCATTCCACTGGGATGAGGTGAGCGTCAGGCAGCCCAGTGCTGTTGCAAAACCTACTCACGATGTCGCGATGGACATTGCCTCTGTGCACGCCATGAGACCCTGCGCTGGCCATTGATGCCAGCTCAGGATGGTCGGCGCCGTCAAACATTGCGCACTCGGCAAGCCATCGAATGGTTACGGCGCTAAGTTTGCCGTGAGACCACAGGCTAAGTAGGGCAGTTGCCAAGGAGCTATCCTTACCTTTTTCAAGGTCTGCCTCCTCCCCTTTTTCCTTTTCTAGTTCTAACTGCCAGCCCCTGAGCCCTCTTGGCCATTGGCTAGCCCCCTTTTGCAAGGGACATATCCAAGTGTGCTTTTCAAAGGCTGGCCCAAGACTGAAGGAACACATCCGTGTTAAGTGTGCTTTGGGCCTATATACTGTGTTTCTGTGGGGGCTGGGGGCCTGCCGTTTTTGTTTTTTCAGGGGGAGCACGCGCCAGTCTAAAACCCCACCCCTGCTACGCTTTGTTTGGGGTGTCCCATCTTTTTTTCGAAAACGGCAGACCAGAAGTGGACTTGGCATGGGCTTTTCTTTTGGTTTGTGGGGCTGACCACTAGTATCACCCCCTTGCATATTAAAAACAGGTTTTCCTTGAGAAGCAGCCACTCAAACCCCTGCCATAAGACGCTTTTTCCATCATTATCTGAGCTCGTTCTTCCCTGGGTCACCCCTCTTGAGTTTCCCAGTTGCCGTATAGAACACCATGGCCTTGACAAAGGCAATATGGCTTATGGCCTTTTTCAAGGTGTGCCTTGCAGGATGCGGTTTTATCGTTTTCCCGGCTGACTATGCGGCTAGGCACCCTTTTTCGTAGTAGCTTTTGACAAAGCTTTTTGGGAAATCTGCACCAACTCTTTGGCCTCCTCCTTGGCATCCTTCACTGCAGCTGCGCACAATATGATTTCCTTTTTCAAGGGCTCCAATTTGCACTTGTCCCCTTTAGCAAGGGATTTTTTGATCTGGGCCAGCGCATCCTCCATTGTCTTCTTGCAGTCAACTTTCTCCTTTAGACTTTGCTTGCTTAGGTAAGGGCTTTTCTTAACCTTTTCCAAGGCTTCTTCATAGTTACTCAGGGTGGTAATGAGAAGCGTCTTTGCTCTCTTTGCTTTGTCGAAAGCATCTTTGAGAGGGTCTTCCGGGTCATCATCGTTCAGGACGGGCAGTTCAGGCTTACCCCTTTTCCCACCCTTTTTACCACCTTTCCCTTTGCCAAGGGGGCTGCTGCTGCTGCTGCCTTTGCCAATCATGACGGAGTGCAGGTCGCTGCCTAGGAGTTGCTCCCACTCTTCATCATCGTCCTTTTCCAAGGTGAACTCTTGACCCTGCTGCCAAGCTTTTTTCGATTTGCCAGCGCTTGTCCTCTTGAAGTCTGCGTTGTCCATGTATTCATACACACCCCATGTTTGGGGGCATTCTCTCCAGGACACCCTCCCCGAAGACAGGTGCTTGTCCAGCGTTGTCTGCCCCCACTTGTCAAGGGCCTGCTTTTCGGACAGCCACTTCTCCTTTTTCTGCAAGGAGTCTGTTTGCTCCACAGATCTGGTGATATTGCCAAACTTAGAGGCATCAGTTCTCATGAGAAAAAGGGCTGTGGCCCTGCCCTTTTCTTTCCTCCCCAGATTGTCAAACTCCTCCTTAGCATTCTCATCCTTTTTCAAGTGGTTCTGGTGGCGGTTCCACGCCTTGGATTTCTCACCCTTCGTCATGCTGTCTTGTAGGGCATCAGCAGCATCATCTATGTCTGAGTTCTCATCTGCAATTTGTTTCACTTTCTCCTTGAGACTCAGCTCTCCTAACTTTTCCAAGTTTTCTGGGGTGACTGCTGAGCCTTTTGCCTTTTTGGTGGCTGCTTTCCCCTTTGGCAAGGGGGTATTGCTTGCTGGCCTTTTCTTTGGGGGCATTAGCTGCACCCTTTCACAAGGGTTTAGGTTGACACTTGCTTATATCCTAATGCAACCAGGTGGAAACTAGGTGGCAAATGGTTTGAGCCTATTGGCTGCAGCACGCAATCAATGGTAGCCAGGAAGGTGCCCCCAACACACTATGCCCCTCATTTCGAACCCTCAAAAGTCACACCTGTCACTCCTAGTTGACTCCTTTTGGTATTTCTGAGGGACCAAACAAGGGTGAAAAGGAAGGAGATCAGAAGTGATCAGAAGTGATCAAAAGTGATCAAAAGTGATTAAAAGTGATTAAGAGTGATTAAGAGTGATTAAGAGTGATCAAAAGTGATTAAAAATGATTAAAACATGGGTTTGATCACGTTTGACCACCTTTGATCATGTTTGATCATTTTTAATCACTCTCTCTTTTTTCCCACCAAAGGTTCCTACAAAAACCAACGCAGAGCTAAGGTCACACCTTGTTTTGTTTCTTGGGATTGTAGTGGGGGAAGAATGCGACAACTACCTGTAAACCTCAATTTGTTTAGTGTGAAAACAAATGAGGTTTCTCTTGAATTGTTGTTCATTTTGGTTGTTCGTGGTGTGGCCCTTTGCGAAAAGGGTGGTTGCATCACGAAGAGAAGGGGTCCCTTCCAAACTGAAACTGGAGCATTTCCTTTTGCAAGGAAATTTCCTAGAAACCCAGGAGCATTTCCTTTTGCAAGGAAATTTCCTAGAAACCCAGGAGCATTTCCTTTTGCAAGGAAATTTCCTGAAAACCCTGGAGCATTTCCTTTTGCAAGGAAATTTCCTAGAAACCCTGGAGCCCTGGACCTGAGCCTTTACATGGAAATTGCCTAGGGTTATTATCCCCTTCAGAAACAGTCCCTAGGACACAACCCCAAAGAACTCAAAGAGACAGGCCTTATTGCTGAGGCTGTAACCCAAAGAAAAGGAGTCTCCACAACACCATCTCAAAAAAAACAAAGGGTGTGCCCTGTGCTCTTAACCCAACTGTCCCTTTCAAAGGGTTTACCTGTCCTAAGGGTTGGCACCCTGTTCCAGAGGTTCCCCTTTTCTTTTCCATCCCTCATATCTAAGCATCAAAAAAGGGTGGGTTTCCCTAAAGAGGTAGCCCTGAGCTGCAGGGCGCGCCTTTTTTTGCCTGCTCTTTCAGGCTTTGGTTTTTTGTGTCAAGCCCCACCCCTGCCATTGCCTAACAATATATATATATGACATCAACAGATATGAGGGGTGTAGAGGGTTTGCGATGCAACTTAAGGGGCATATGGCAGGGGCGAGGCTTGACACGCGGGTGAGACTGATCCCTTTTTGCAAAGGGATGTGGATGGCACACTTTGCGGGCTGGTCTTTGCTTTTTTCCCCTTTTGCAAGGGGCTTGGAGGCTGTGGCTTTTTAGCCCCGTTTGGCAAGGGGTCACGCTAGTCCCTTTCTCAAGGGAAAACAAGGAAGTGGTCCACTGCCTCAGCCAAGCTGGCGAAGGTGCTCCCCCCCTCCCGGCTCCACCAGTGGTGCTCTCCCTTTTTGCAAAGGCGTAGCTGCAAATGACGACAGGGTCAATGAGTCTCTGGATGGCCTGGCAATTGGCCGGGGGGATGACCCCCCCCACCTCCAAGACATTGTGGAAGTCCACCATGACTTTGGGGACTGCTTCCATCTTAGGGGCCTCTGAGACAGGCTCAGTGCTGGCGGGCTCAGAGCTGGCAGGCTCAGAGGTTGCAGGCTGGGAGCTGCTTTGCTCAAGGGGAAGGCTCTTCCTTGACCTGGGTCAACCCTGTGCCTTGGGCAACGCTTGCAGGGCTGGGTTTTGCCTTTTCGCTGTCCTCGTGCCATTGCTTTCTGTCCTTTTCCAAGGACTCCCATGACCTATGGCTGGGGGACCTGCTTCTCTCCCAAGGGTGCTTCTCCTCCCACTGCCCTCTTTCCCAAGAGGGTTCCACCCAGCCCGCCCAGGCGTCCATTTCCCAAGGGCTGTCCCTTTCCCAAGGGAGTGTGTCCCACGCGGACTCACCGGTTGACCGCCCTTTTGGCTTGCCTGGCCCTCGAACTCGTGCCGTGCCCCCAGGGCCGGCCTGCCCTGTTGGCCCAGGGCATCATTTCCCGGATGTTCTCCCGGGGCAGGTTGACCCAGGGCATTGCCTTTTCGCAAAGGCTTGCAGAGTCAGCACACGTGCCTTTTTGCAAAGGCTTGCACACGCGCAGATGCAAAAAAAAGAGTAGCTTGAGGCTCAAATTGCTGCGGCGTGAAAGCATGTTTTGAAACATGCTCTTTAAAAAGACCACCCATTAAAAAGACCACCCATCCACTTCCCAACCCCACATGCAAAAAAGATGGACCTTAGCGGGGCAAGCCATCCCCTAAAAACTAAAAGGGTAAACTGCCCCTTAGTTATAATATAGTGGTAGGGAGGTGGGTGTATCAAGGGAAACAGTGCCGCCTCACATTTTCCTTTCACGTCCACCTCCTTGTACGCAGCGGTTTGCACTTTGGCAACCCTTGCCCTTTTTCAAAGGCTGCCCTTTCTCAAGAGCTTCTAGCGCGTTTGCTTTGCGTAGGGCCTGCCTTTTTCAAGGGTGCTTGGCACACAATTTGTCCCTCAACGTGAAGGCTTCCTCTTTTGTCAGGGACTCCTTTTCCAAGGCTTCTTTGATTTTATCAATCACAAAAGAATACTGGCTGCTCCTAGTTTTGGTTACCTCAATTATGAGCCTCTTCTTTTCCTTCAAGTCATGGGCTCCTGTCAAGTAACTTCGCTCTGGCTTGGACCCCGTAGTTTTAAAGATTTTCAGCCACGGAACTCTTTTCGGAAGGGCGTCACTCTTTTTCCCACCTTTTGGCCAAGGGGCGGAGGCTTTGGAGGCAGGCTTCTTCAGCACTTGCGCTTTGCCTTTGTCAAGGTATCCCATACTCTCCCTTAGGTCTGTGTGCAAGGGCTCGGGTGCCTCGCTCGGCTGCTTGCCATGTGACCCCGCCCTTCTCCTCAGAAAGCTTGGGGCTGATGGCTGGTGCACAGAGACTGATGGGCTGGCAAGCATTTTTCGGAACCCATCAGAATCCACAGACACATCGTCAGCTGCTGCTTTTCTCTTTTTGGGCGTTGGCGACTTGCTTCTGCCTTTTTCCAAAGGGTTCAGGGACTGCTTTCTTGGGCGATCCTTTTCCAAGGCAGCTTCGTCCTCTGGCCGCAAGACAACCTTTTGCAAGGTCTCTGTGAGCCTTTCGAACTCACTCCCTGTCAGGGCAGCAAGGCAGCTGGAGCCGCCTGACCTGGCAAGCTTTCGCACATGGCTCAGTAGCACATTCAGCCTCTCAGCCTTCATGTTTGTCCAGACAGAGCCATTGAACCTGGTGCTGTTCAGCTTGGGGTTGGTGGCCAGCAGCTGCAGAAGTGCATTCCTCAGAGGCTGCGGATGCACTTCTGCAGAAGGCTCCAAGGCCACGATGTCTTCCAGCAGGGGAAGGCATCGGTGCAATGCCTTGGGGTCCACTGCTGAGTTTCTCGACCGAGACTCATACCCCTTCAGGTCCAGCAGCAGGTCCTCATGCTTCTTCAGAAGCTTGAGAAGAAGCCCTGTCTCGACATAGGGCTTTTTGAAGTGCCTTGCCCCGCCCCTGCCCTGCGGGGCAGAGGTGGGCATCTTTTCCCAAAGATTTGGCGCTGCCTTTTGCAAGGCCAGCTTGAGAGTTAGATGTAGGACCTTTTTTCAAAGGGGTCGCCTGGCAAAAACAAAGCAAAGGCCTTTTTCCAAAGGCAGCACAGTGCAAACGTAGCAAATGAAAGAAAGACGCAGGTGCTATATAGCTTGTAACCAGAATGGCTGCGGTAATCAAAATTCAGCCACGCGTGCCACAAAACACAACGTGCAGTGAGCTGTTTGGCACCTTCGCGACTGAAAAGTTGATCAGTATCTATTTATATGAACTTTATATGAACTCAAGCCTTAAACAAAATCAGTGTGAAAATCAATATGAAAATCAATAAGAAAATTATGAAAATCAATATGAACATCAATATGAAAATCAATATGAAAATCAATATATGATCAATACAAGAATCAATCTATTTTCAAACATGAAATCAAACAAATCAAACAGAGAACTTTTGAAAAAATCAATATTTTTTTTTCAAAATCAAAATCAATCCAAAACCATGGAAATTGATTGATCAGGATCAAAATCCGATGCTCAGGGTCTGCTTCTGTCCATAGGTGGGTTCGATCGTCTCGTCGCCGATCGTCAGCGGGATCCTCGTCTGGATGGAAAGCCCTTGTTCTCTCATCTTGAGATAATTGTTGTATTGTTCTTGAAGCATAGGGTTGAACTCCATCCCGTGGTATTGCATGAGGATAATGTCTTGAACAGCAACTTTGCCGCCCGTCGAGGAACATATCCTCAAAATTTGTGTGGGGAACAGATTGTAGGGGAACAGTTTGTTAAAGACTTTGTCATCTTGGGCCAGTTTTGCGCTTTTGACGTTTTTTGACTGATTCTGTCGGTTTTTGTCGGTTTTTGTCGGATTTTGTCGGGCTTTGTTGGCAACTTGTCATTTTCAACGTCTGGCATCCGTTCTTGTTCGTTCCTTATTATTAGTGCTTGCTGTTGTTGCTGTTGTTGCTGTTGTCAACTGTTAGTTGTGTGACGTTTGTTCCACGGTTGTTTGTTTGATATTATTGTTTGTTGTAACAGTTGTGTGACGTGTGTTGCTAGCTTTTGTTTGTTATTATTGTTTGTTGTAACAACTGGCAACAGTTCAACAATTGCGTGTTGTTTGTTTCTTTGTTTGTTTGCTTGCTTGCTTGCTTGCTTATTGTTTGTTTGTTTGATTGGTTTGGCTGGGTGGTATGTATTTGATAATATGTATGTATGTATGTGTATGTATCTATGTATCCTTATGTATCTATGTCATTTATGTAAGTACGTAGGTGTGTAAGTATGTGTGTGTGATGTATGTGTGTGCGTAACACGTACGTACGTATGTACGTGTGTACGTACGTATCTATGTGTGTATGTACGTATGTATGTATGTATGTATGTATGTATGTATGTATGTATGTGTGTATGTATGTATGTATGTATGTATGTATGTGTGTATGTGTGTGTCTGTATTTATGTATCTATGCCATGTATCTATGTAAATTTGTAGGTGTGTAAGTGTGTAATGAAACTACTGATGTCATGACAATATTCAAATTTAATAGTTGTGACTTTGCCGGGGAGATCCAGACGTGAGATGCCGCAGTTGATTTTCAATTTTCCCTTCCGGCATATGGGTCACCAGCTACCAGGGGCACTGCGTGGCATTGCCGTCCTGGTGTGTGGGCGATCCCGTAGGCCAACATAAACAATTGTCAAGCCTTGTCGGTAGTGGGCCAGCTGCTGATGCAAGACCAGTGGAGCAGCCCCTCTAGACTCCTATGACCATTGACCCCATCTTAGTCAATGGCCGGCAACATTTGCTTCAGATTACCAGGGTCACGCGCGCGCCGCCGCAGCCGTCTGGCTTACTTTTTGGCTCAGCTTGCAGAGCCGATCAAGTCACACATGGTTGTCATTATTACTGAGTATCTCCTTGAGAAGCGGGAGAGAGCCATCGCTGTTGTCAAGACAAACCCCAACTGCTTGGAAATGACCAGCCGCAAGGACGACACCAAGCCTTTAACGCCAAGAACTGGTATCAAAAACAAGCTTGAGTGGGAGCGGGAGTTTTTTGTTTGGAAAAAGGCCTTCGCCAGTCGGTCTCGTGGAGGAATCTGTGAAGCCCGCGCCCGGCTTGATACGGACAATGCACGTGGGGCAAGCCTCAGAGAACAGCGCCTCCGAGGATGCCCCGAGCGAGCAAAGGCTGGTGGCCGCGCACTGTAGCCAGCACTCCACTTGGCGGGCACTCAGATAGAATCTTTTGGCGCAATTTTAACCTGGCAGCCCAACATGAGCAGACAGCCGCAGAAGTCGCGCTGGTGCCGGGCCTACTCAGTGAGGCTGAGGGTCCGGTTACCCGGTTGGCGGCCCTACTGCTAATTTTTTCTAAATTAAATTTTGCAGTGGCTGCACCTGGCTCGCAGGCTGGGCCGTGCGCCTCAGTCTCATCCAGTGCCAAGTTCAGTGTCACATCCCCAAGAATCTCATCAGGGCTTAGTGCCGTTCTTGGGGAAGGAACAGCCTGCTTCTGACGCGCGAAGACTGACCAACGGTGTCAAAAAGCAAATGCCAAGTCCGAAGACCCACGCAAGGAGCAGTATGTTCATTCATGACATGTCACGCTGCGCAAAAATTGTTCCCAACAATCATAATAGTGCCTTCGATTGAAAGCGTAGATTCAACAGCATGCCATTCATCAAACAGCAGCGAATGAGTGCACCGAGAACGTGACGACAACATGTGACTGTGACTGTGGGTTTGAATCATTGAATAGTTTTGGCTTAGACCACCAGCATTACTAATTACATTTAGTCTGCTTGAAACTGAACTGGGTTGACATGCCATGCCACTTGTTGAGCTGAACCCTTTGGAGAGATTGCGCTTGATTCTATTTCGGCGCGCTGCCCGGCTGCTGTTGCGGTTGACATGATAGATGACATGCGTGACCATTTTGCGGAGCATAGGCGACGGGAGTGGGTGATCCTTATTCACTGCCGGGGCGGGGCCAACCGATCAGTGGGAGCTTTGTGTTTGCTGATCATGTACCTGAAACGGTGCACGCCCCCCGAGCATTGAGATATGTTTTGAACAAAAGGGCCAAACTGCGTCCTTTCTATGGCCGGAGCTACATGCTGGAAGCACTGCAGGAAACATGTGACTTTATTGAGCGAAACAATTTTGACTTTTCTCACTTGTCTGAAGAAGTGTTTGAAATTTGACAACATTGAGTGCGGCTTGATGATTCATCGAAACACAGTAAAAATCCAGGGCTCAGTGCTATTACTGTGTTTCAATCAATGAATGTGTAGTGGCAGACATTGTCGTGCACAAACCGGTTGGTGTGCGAGGCTGGGCTGTCAATGATTGACATTGAATTTTTGCAGACATTGTCATTGTGACAGTGGACAACCGGATGGTGTGCCAGGCTGGGCTGCCAATGATTGTTTCATTGATTGGTTGATTTTGACGCAATGAGTCACTGCTGGCTTGTCATGACAATGTGTTCTTGGTTTGAACGCCTGCGTCGCTGACAGAAGCCAGTTCGACTCAATGTCAATCGGAGCAATTGCGGCAGGTAATGATTCATGGACTCGTCCGAGCCGTCGGATGTGCTTTGGCCAGGCAGGGGCGCAGGGGGCTGACTCAACGGGTTTCCACGGTGAGTCAGGGATTGACTTCTGATGAAAACTGTTATATTAAATAACCGCTGCAGCCTTGGCTCGAGCTAGGTCTTCTGTGTTCACTGATTGAATAATCAGGTCTAAGTGACGTTCAATCATTTCAAGCCACCCATGATGAAGCGACCCTCGCCGTCGTCGAGTCAGAAGCCTGCTGCCGGGGCCCAAGGGGCGCCTTCAGGCGGGTTGACAGTGCACCTGAAGTCGGTGCCGCCGGGTCCCCCAGCTGCCAAGACCGAGCCCTGGATGCGGGGAACATTGACGGTGGATGAAATGCTGGCGGAAAATCCAGTGACGGTCGACGACCCCCCGCCCCCGCTTGTGTGGTACACACCGATTTTGGCCTTGACTGGAGACCTATTTATTAGTGTAATAATTATTAGATTGAGATGTGAGGCCACAGATGCATATTGCGTGGGAGAACTTGGGCTCCAATATCACCCAGCGGGTGATGAACTAGCTGATCACTGGAGCCTTCGCGCGTCCTTGGACCTCGCCATTGAACGGGCGGGGTGGTGGAGGCATCAGCTCCTTGGCAGCAGCATCAGTGAATTGTATCAAATGCGACCGCATGTTGACCTCACTCATGTTTACTTCGGCTTTGTGTGTAGTGATGAATCTAGGTCGGTCCGAATTAAATATTGACATTTGTTGCGACAGTTTTCAGTGTGATTCAGCCACTGCTGCAAGCGCACTGAGGGAGGGGTGCTGGTTTGTCAAGATTGAGTTCACTCCAGATGGAATCGACTGGTTCCTGAATAAAGAGCGGGCGCACAAGAAGAAGAAAACCAAGGACAAGACTGTCCTGAGCATGCATTGGGACAATTGGGCGAGGTTCTTTGTGAATTTCATTGGCCCTAAGTGTGTGGGCCCGCGTGGCGAGACTCTTTTTGAGGCGACAGTAGTTGACGCCGAAGGCTGCGAGATGCTGGAGACAGTGTCACAGTCTGAGTGAGCTGGGCGGCTGGGGAAAATTCAGGGCCCAGTGCCATCCCCGGCCTTGAAGTTGAATCGCAGGCCTTGACTTGAATTGGGAAGGGATGTTTGCTCTGATTGAGTCATGATTCATTCCTAATTATTAGCTAAATTATGACAACATTTAGTCTGCGGCTGCTTGTTAAGTATGTATGAGGCTTGTTGTTTTTGTGAGACATTCAATGGACCAACATCATAGCATCATTAGTAGGTGGATTGATGCGCCGCTTCCAAGCAAGTCAAGGACTCGCCGTGGTTTGATAAGATTCATTCATGCATTCATTGTCATTCATGTTACATTGTTACATGACATGTTTATTGAATGTTTTGCTTGATCATCAATCACT